TGGAAGTGGAGAAACAGGACTTCAGTGGGGCTCACTCAGCACCTCTGGAAAGTATAAGATATAGTTTTCTCTCCTTCCACTCACTGCCCTGGAGTCTCCATCAGCTAAAAATGTCCCATTTTGTGCTGTTTCACTGGATTATGATACAGATCTTTATAGGTGAGTCTTCACCTGCTTTTTGTATGCTTGCTCAGAAAACAAAAAATTTGTAAAATTAAAACAGCGACACTTGTCTTGTGAAAACAAAACGGTGAAAAAGGTCATAATTTTATACAGAATTTCAAAAGTTTTCTTAACTTACTGAGTTAATACCAATTGAGTTTTTGTTTTGTTGTTTGTTCGTTTGTTGCTTTTTTTTTTCCTTTTTAAAACTGTTTGTGGTTTCCTCTGTGTATAGGCTTGGTTAATTCCCCCATTCCCCCAAATTATATAATTTCTTTACTACTGTTAAATGTATAGTGCTGGCTTTGCTTCTTCATCTATCACACTACAGTGCTGACACAGCCCAAGCGAGGGAATTGAAATATTAAAGAGTAATGAATTCAGAAAGGATTTTCTGAAACTGAGGGCTATCTGCTGCTATGAACTGAATATGGGAAAGCACAGATGGAGTTTCCTCTTCTTTTACTCCCAAGTGTTCAGTTCAACCATTTAAAATCTGATTCCTAAAAGAGACAGAAGTGAAAGAAGAGTGACTTGGGAGGCTGAGTCTTGCATGCGTGGTTGATATCAGCTACTTTTTCTACATGCACATTTAGACATCAGCCATGCAGTTTCCAAGTTGCCTGAGGTGGCTCTGGAACGTGACTTCACCCACTTTCAGTGGGACATGAGCACTTAATGGAAGTTGTGCGTTTACATCACTTAGACATCTCAGGAAATTCTGTCTCAGGTGACGGGATGCACTGAGGGACAAGAGGTGATCTCTATCCCTTTGAGGAAAGGTAACACATCCTCCACAGTGTCTGCTGTGCAAGTGGAGCTTCGCCAGCACTTTGCTGTAGCCCAGGGAATTCCATAATACTTTTTGTCTTTTGCCAGTCTCAGCAGAAGAACAGGACGTCTCTTTCCTTGCCTTATCTTCAGCCTCAAAATAAATCGGAGATACTCATCTCCATTTGGTCTTATTTTCAAAAACTTTCGTATATGCAGAGCTACTGAAGGGTGAGGATGGCTTTTTGTTACCTTCTCTTTAACTCTGCTCAGTGCTGAGAACGAGTAGTCTTGAGACTAAGGTAACCGGCAGAGTGGGCAATTAAATGTTTCTTTTCTGTTTATCAGTCATTTTCTCTGCAATTCCATCAGTACAGAAGCTTCAAGAGAAATAAAAAAAAATAGCGTTGATAGGGAAAATGTGCCAAGTATCTTCTACAAAGAAGGAAAATTATTCCAGAAATAGATCAAGGAAAAAAATTTCTTTTTCACGCAGCTGTCTTGACTGGAGGATGTATGTTCTTTGTCCATCCAATGACCAGTCTACCGAGAGAAGAATACTACAATAGCAACTATTAGAGTTAGTGCTTGATACCAGCTGTCACTGAGGGTTGGCTGAAAAGACTATATATAAACATGTGTTTATCCATATGATCTAAACAATTATGAATACCCCTTTCTATTTTGGAAGACGTATTAAACATTTGGAGTCCATTTCTCTCTCACTTGGATTAAGGACTTAGAAGGACAAACCTCACCTACTTCAGTGGGACCGCCCAGCCTTAGCTGATGCTCAGCATGCCTTGGGTCAAATCTGGGTGCCTAGGAGGGTCACTGCCATGGACAAGGGTAGGATTCCTCTTTCAGTAAGACTAAGGTGTCAAAATATAACAGTCTCAGGAACCTCTTAATTTCAAAGACATGTTAATTCAGTCCTATATACTATTTCTTTTGTAAAATGTGTCTGTGGAAGAGGCTGTCAGTGGGAAGGAAGTTATTTAGTCCTTGCAGAGGTTCATGCTGTTGAATGCCGTTGTGATGTTGGAGCTTTCCATACCAACCTGCAGTACAGGCAGATGTTACAAACATTAGTTTCACATAAATAAAAAGAGGATTTGAAACTGCGAAGGCTTGAACTTTCCAGCACCAACACTGGTGGGAAACTGCACTGGAGACACTCTGGTGCTTTGAGTCTTCCCTCTTCTTCTTTTTACTTATTTATTTTTTTAATACCCTCAGGGCTCTGCTTCTTTCAAAGAGAAGTGCTGGCAAAGTTTCATTGGTTAAAGGGTTACTTAATGAAGCTGCTTTTGTGCTGTGAAGGATTGCGATGAAATAAGAACAGAAAATAAGCCCATTTCTTCTCAGGCAGCAGTGACCTCAACTCCAGGAACAGTTCAAGCTGGTCTTGGTTTTACACTCATTGTTGTTGGATTGACTTGAAAATACTTGTTAACCTGCTCAGTAACACCCTGCTTTCCTGAGAATACTTTCAAGGTCAACTGGATGAGCTGTTTTGTTCTGTCATCACAGAAAGAGGCTATTTTCTCTATGTGTTTTACCGTACAAGGCAAACGAACCTACCCTTTCCAAGGACTAAAAACAAGCAGCCATCTTGCAAAGCCCTATCCCATATTCAGGAATTCTTTTTTTTTTTTTTTTTTGGCACATCTTACATTCATTTCACTGCAAAAGCTTCTACCCTTCACACCATATTGCTCATTGTTTTGTCTGCCTCTACTTTTAGCATTTGGAGCTGTGGAAACCTGAACCAGCTGGCTTATCTTGCCAATGGGATAAGCAATAATGAAGCTGAAATGTCATCCCAATAACAAGTCGTGAGGCAGCCTGCCACAGACTAAAACCTCACCTGGGGTATAGTCCGTTAAAGACAAAACAAAAGAGACATGGACACAGTTGGAAGCATCTGTTTGCTATCTGGGAGTCATGCCAAAAGGAAAAGGCATTCAAACAGCTGGCAAAATAGAAATGTTTGGCAAACCAGGGCCAGTGGTGGTGATAACAGCAGCAACTGCTGTAAGTCCTCTTTGGGCTAAGCAAGCTGGCCATGAGACATCAGATCTGCAGGATGATCCTCTTGCTGCACCAGAGGACCAGATCTGGATGCTCCCCAGGTCCTTCAGTTCCTGCTCCACCATACGTAAATGATAATGTGAGGGAAAAACACAGCAAGATAGGAGGACCAACACGGACTAGACGAATGTAAACCAGAAAAGATTTGTTAATGTAGGGGAACCTTTCTTCCTATAGTGCCTTTCATGAAGAAGAAATTCCTTTTAGGGCAATCTGGGAACTGCACGGACAGTTAAGAGGGAATAATATGTAGCAAAGATTCAAACCAGATGCTAAGGTGGGTATTGGCTGTAAACACCGAGTACAGCTGGTCATTAAGAGGAAGAACACAAGGAAAGCAGGCATATGCTCTTTTAACATCAGCGTAACGCTAGCAGTTAAAGCTTCTGTGTACACAGTGCTCTGCAAGGCAAGGGGGTAGCTGGCAGAGCTTGCTCAGAAACGGAAAAAGCAGCACACGTTCTGAGAACAGGTTCCCATAGAGAAATCCCACTGCTCTGCCAGCTTAATTAGGCCCTAATTTCACACATGAATAGGTATTTTGGACCCTGCTATTGAGACTGTCAGTGAAAGGCAACTATGACAGCATTTCCTTTTTGAAGGAGACAATGGTGGACTGAGAAAACGAGATGTATTTCACACCAGGTTTCTGCACAACTTTCAAACAATCTCTCAGAAGAGGAGATGGAATAGGAGCAGAGTTCCCAAATTCTGTTTGCACAGGTCTAGTCTGCGCTTGGGCTGCCAGCAACAGATCTCAGCTTTGCTCACCACGTGTTTGATGTGAATGATGTATCGTGTGAGCAGCCCTCCAGCAGCTGGCCGAGGCCAGGGCATGGAGCACTGCAGAGCCAGCCAATGTCTGTGAGCTCCTGGCTGTTGCCTGTAGTGCCCTGGGCCACTGCTTGCCACAGGCTCCTGGCGAAGGCTCGGGAAATCAGTAACTGTGGCCTGCTTGTGGGCAGGAGTGTTTCTTCTCCTGCCTCATTGCGTTGCATAGGTAAAGCCGAGCATTGGAGAATGCCAACACTCATCTTTCCTTGTTCTTCCTTGACAGCGCACGTCGCATCCGAAACTGTTGTTAGAGGAGTAATAGGGCAACCTGTTCAGCTGCCTTGCTCCTACCAGGTGACACGACAAAAGGACATCTCTGACATGTGCTGGGGCAGAGGCCCGTGCCCAAATTCAAAGTGCAGTGACAAAATTTTGCACACCACTGGGAACAGGGTGACATACAGAGTATCTGAGAGATACAATCTCTGGGGCTATATTTCCTATGGGGATGTGTCTCTCACGATTGAGACAGTGAAAGCAGAAGACGCAGGTATATACTGCTGCCGTGTAGAGATCCCGGGTTGGTTCAATGACATCAAAAAGAACATGCGGCTGGAGGTGGTCAAAGGTGAGTTTGGGGACCTTTGTGATACCGCCAGCAGGGAGAAACCTCTCACTAAATAAGAGTTTAAAATTGGAGTTTGTGTGTGCTTTCGTTTGTTTGTTTGGTTGGTTTGGCAAAAGGTGTTTTTCCTGAATTACATAGTTTTCAAGGGATGTGTGCGACCAGTTGCCAGTTTGAATCACATTCAATGAGCAGTTTTGATGAGAAAATAGCAACTACCCCTTTTTTGCCTTCCAAATTAAATCTTTAATTTCTCATCATGTAAGTATATTTGACATTTTAAATGATGATTGAATTAAAGAAGAGATTTATCTTTCAAAGAGCCCTTGGAATGAAATTCAGTTTTTCATTTGAGGTTCACCCCAACACCAAAAAAGCTTTAGTTTGGGTCATGTCATAAGGAGACCAACGTCTTTAGAAATTTTGTCTTAGAGTCTTGAAGGACTTTTTCCCCTTCCTATTATTTTGCCAAGGTGCAAGATAAAGCAAGGCTCTTACAAAGTTGAGAAGAGGCCAAAAAACATTGCAAAGCACAGGAAAAAAAATGGTATCCACCCTTCACATTGCAGAAAGACTAATTTTTTCCTGACCTTTACAGGGTGTTCAGAAGTGCAATTGGTGTTGATGTACACAGAACTCTTGTTTGCCTGTTGTAAGTGATATAACAGGAGAGTGAGGGAAAGATGCTGCAATCCTATGTCTATCCTTCAGTTTAAGGGCAACAGAGTTCATAAAAAAAGGACCAGTTGAAAAGATTAGCCAGATGCTTGTAGCTGAAAATTGAGCTATTCTTTTTATTTTATTTTTATGAGGACATTGAAAAGAAAATCACAAATTTTGCAAGTATTTGGGTTCTACCACACAAGGTTCAGGCCTCTCTGACCCCCTTTCTGTAAGAGGGTCAGGAGCAGGTATTTGAGCTAAAAAGAAAAAAGCAAATCTGTAAATCTGGCAATTGCTCTGACTGGGGCAAGTTTTCTGGTAATTAAACAACCTTTTAAAATAGTGAGTCTCCCACCTTCATTCTCAGTATTTTAGCAGCTAGATAATTTTCATTTGTTTCTGAGTTGGCTTTCCCCAGGGTCAGTTGTGAATGCTCTGATCTAGCTTTTCTTTTGGCAATGTTTTTTCCATGCAGCCCCTCCAGTGATGACAACTACCACGAGAAAGTCTCCTGTTTCCCCTAAACTTTTCAGAAAAACAACTTTTGCTCCCCAAACAACCTCTGATCATCAGACAACAGCAGAGACTGCTGTCCTCCTGACAACCACTGTCCCCCCAGCAACAACTGCAACCACCAACTCTCCAGCAGTAACTACACTGGAGACCATGGCTCCACCAACATTTGTTGTGACAGCAAGTGATACTTTTCCACCAACTATGGTGACAACCAGTGCTCTCTCAGATTTTCCAACTAGTTTCCAAGAAGCTGACGTGAGGAATGAAGATGACTATGTGTTCTTGTCATCAGAGTCTCTGTGTCTTCCTGGAGGTACACAAAGTAATCAGCACCAACCCTTTCTTTTTGCTGTGTAGCAGAGATAGTCTGTGTTAGCCTGACTCTGGCATCATAGAGACCCTCCAGATACTTCTATTTGCATCTGGGAGGTTTTCTCTGAGATGCCTACAGGTATGTCTCGGTAGGCTTAAGGAAACACAGGTCCAGTGTTGTGGATGATGCTAAACTGGGGTGAACAGCCAAGATAGCAGAGGGTCAGTCTTGCATTCAGAGGGGTTTTAACAGGCTGGAGAAATAATGTGACAGAAACCTCATGAAGCACAACAGAAATAAATGCAAAATGCTGCACCTGAGATTGAGTAAGAGAGATCCACTAATTTTTTTCTTGATTTGGGAAAGGCAATTGAATATGAATCAATTGAAATGATCTGCTGAAAAGGTTAGTTTAGAGTATGTTCTGCTTGAGCAATAAAGTCAGTGAGAATTCAGAACACGCTTAAAATTGAGTACTTACATTGTCATCCCATATGAAAGCTGCTGTTATTAATATTTAATTGATCAGAATGACTTATTATCATCCTAACCTTTCCTAGGTTGCTACATCAATGACTTCTTTCACACAGATTGATGTCTGCACACAAGGCTGGTTTTTGTACATTTTTGGGATCTTCTGTCACTTGAAGTTCTTTCTGGCCAGAACCTCTGAGGAGAGCTTTTCTGTATCATCTCTTGTCTTCCAGCCATAACAATGTGGTCCAGTTAAGCTTGGCAACAATTAATTACATCCACAGCTGAACAGTTAAAACATCTAACCGCTGGCCATGCTAGTAAAGTACATCAGTTGTCTGAGTAGGATGAACTGCAGATGATGAAAACCGAGGTGCAGATTTTCACCTCTCAGTTACAGATGCAGAACTGTGCAAGCAATTTTGAATGGCATATGAAGACCCCTCTAGTCCATGATCTTTATAAGCTTTACTTTTTACTTTGTTTCAGTGACTACTGAATTCCCAAGTACGCTTCCAACTGCAGAGGGAACCAAAAGTGCTGAGATTTCTCTCATGGTTGAAGATGTGCCAACTGCAGGTGAGTAGGATAGCAAGGTCAGAAGTTGAATGTTCAGAGAAATGAACAAGCTTGTCATAAACAAAAGTATTGACTATTCTAAGATTGTACCAAACACGTACTGATAGCTATTCATTGCATCTGGAAGTAACAGGTATCTGGGCTCCACACAGAAATTGTTTGAAATCAGGATGTAACAACAGCTGAGAAAAACATGTTTTTAAGCCTCCAAAGGAAGTAGATTTTGAGTCACTCACTACTGTTGGGTATCTCAGGTCTGAGAGAAGTTAAGAACTGGTTTTTGTCACTGTCCACACTGAATTCTCAAGATATCTGATTTGTCATCACTGTAACATTGAGCTTTCCATTTTAAATCCTCTCTGAGTGTTGTGAGCTTTGAAGCTCACTGAATATATTCAGCCAGATGTGTCTGCAGGCTCAGCTGTCCGGCGCTCAACACGTGTCCTTGGTCATGATGGAAAGCAGCAGGCAATTACCGCAACAATCAGTCATTCCTTCAAGAGAAAAGGAACTGGTATACAAAACCTTACCATATCTGAAAAATGAACAGACTTACATGAAGTTTACACTCTCTGTCTCTCAGTCAAGTGTAAAAGTAGAATGGCCCAAGCTATTCAGGTGTGATAACCTACCCACCAGATGCCTGCAAATGAGGACTTAAAAAAAGGAAAGCTGAAATTCAAGGATGACATGTCATATTTGGCTGTTAAGAGAGTCCTTTGAATTTCAACTAGTGCCAAGAATCTCTTCTTTCTTAGAAACATGATATTTAGATTTTTGCAGGTCTTCTTTTGCTAGAACTTAGAGACTTACAGCAGAAATGGAGTTTAGGAAGCTGTTCCTTAATGGCCCTGGAGAGAGCTCACAAAAGAGATTTAGCTGGTCTCTTGAGCATTTGTGAGGGTTTTTCACCCCTGTCTCACTTGTCATCTTTCTGATACAGCTCTGGATAATATACATACTCTACCATTGTAAATAGGGAATTTTACAAAGGATCTTACCTCCAGGATTCTGGGGACAACTTAAGCTGTGACTGTGGGCTAGAAAGAGCCACCGCAAAAGCAATAACAGCAGAAAACATATCATGCTTATGTGAGTCATGTACACTCCCACCCTTGCAAAAACTTATGTCATGCTATTTCCAAGACCCAAACTGTCATAATGTGTGAAAATGCTGCAGCGTAATTGATCACTCTCTAGTGAGGACCATAAGCCAAGCTCTTAACTCGGTCTCCTTTTACTCTTTGAAATAATGCACTAAATGAACTAACTCCAGCCTTATAGTAATGTAAAGAAAGGCTTATTTGTTGCTGAACTCTGTGTGGATGTTAGCACAGTGGCCGGGAGAGAAACCCATGATTGAGAGAGAGAGTGCTCCATCTCCAAGTACAATTCTTGCCAGATAGGTTGGGTTAGCTGGGGTGGTTGGTTCCTGCT